CAGCCGGCAGTCAGCAGAAGTAGCCTGCAGTACTGCACTCTTAACTACTGTGCCACCGTGGCTCTAAATGTTCAGAAATGGGAGGGCGGACAGATAGATCCAGCAGTTTAGCTCTACCCACCCTCACCACCGGTATTTGCACCGGCCACTGTCCAGGACAGCAAAATGGTTTGACTACTTGCCTTCAACGTTTCTGAAATGACCTGGATCGTCTGAATGTGGCCACATTTCCCAAAGGCCTTTTCCACAGTCTTCAGACCAACGTCTTTGCTCAAAGGGCCAACATAGATGGTGAGCAGGTCCGAAAGCTTGGCCCTCATCTAGGGAAAGGAGGACGGCACTCAGAAATGGAACCCACCAGGCGGCGGGCTGTCCTCGACTTATGACCCCAACTGAGCCCAAGATGTCTATTGCTAAGCGAGACATTCATTCAAAGTGAGGGTGTTTTTTTGCGCCGTTTGGGGAATGGGGAAGTTCTACTGACCTTCGAAGTGGCTTCGGCGAGGAGGTCAGCCGTGACGTGCTTCGAACCCAAAGCCAATTGAATTACGTTAACGGGAGATTTAGGAATCTCTTCCAGGGCTTTCTGGAGAATCTGAAAAGGGGAACAATGGAATTGGGAGACATTTTAGAGATCCACGCATTGAAGGAAACTAAGATGCTCAGAGAACATATATAGTGTTAGCACTGATGTTGTTACCTAGTTGGGTCATGAAACGTCTGCAAGAAAACATCTAAGCTCAGAGAGCTCCAAGGACCCCTTGATTCTTCTGTTCCTCTTCCTCCTTTTTCTCTTCCTCCTCCTCCCTTCTTCCTTCTTCTCCTCTCCACAAGTCCCCCCTCCCTTCTAGCACTGATGATGTTCCCTAGTTGGGTCATGAAACGTTTGCAAGAAAACCATGAAGCTCAGTGACCCCCTCATTTCAACCCTGGGTTACAAATATTCTCATTTATGGATTCATATAAATAGCTTGCAGAGGTATAGCTTGCAAAAGAGAGAGGCCCCAAAATTATCTACGATAACTGGATTTGCATATGAAAGAAACCAAGCCCGTACGTTTATCAGCTTTGTAAAATGAAAACTATGGCGGAGAAGCACAACCAAACAGCATTCATCACTCACTTGCTCATTTGAGGAAGCCGTATGTTTCTGAACATCATCTGTTTTTTCACTGAAGTTGTCTAAAAGGCTAAAAGACAAGAAGGAAAACCAAAGTTAAATAAATTAGCTTGAAGGTACAGCTATTCCTCAACTTACGACCGTTCGTTCAGCAACCATTTGAAGTTAAAACGACACTGAAAAATAAAAAGGGAGTAAGGAACCTTTTTCATTCTTAACGACTGTTGCAGCGTTCCCGTGGTCCCCTGATCAAAATTCAGACGCCTGGCAACTGGCATGTACTTATGACAGTTGCAGTGTCCACAGGTCACGTGATCTGCTTTTGTGACCTTCTGACAAGCAAAGCCAGATTCACTGTACAACCTTGTTACTAACTGACCAGGTGCTGTGATTCACTTAACAAATGTGGCAAGCAAGGCATTAAAATAGGGCAAAACCCACCGAACCACTGTCTAGCCGTGCTTTGCTACGAAACTATGTGGTCGGGCTTAGTTTTTGGGGAGGAAAATAAGGGGGAAAAATAATTCCGAGGTTCTGGAATTTGTAACTCGGAAGAATAAACGAAGAATAGCAGAGAAGACACCGTTTTTAAAAGGTAAGCTATCATGTTTATTAACAACTAGCTCGATACCCTTGCTTCACTACGAAACTACGTGGTCGGCAAATAAGGAAAAAAAAAATTCTGCCTCTGCCTTACCAGCATCCATCAATATTCATCTGGCTAGCATCCTGTCAGTGTGTGAGAGTTGAGGGCTGCTTGGAAAGTGAAAAAGTATTTGCTGTGTGAGCAAGGAGACAGCAAGGAGCCTGGGCGTGGCTTAGCTCAACTGTTCTGTACTAAAGCTGCTTGCTGCTGTGAAACTGAAAACTCCTCTGCTTGTGTTTTGCATTTGGGACAGATTTCTTTTCAGGTGGGGAGGGGGAGTACAACTCCTTAGCATCAGAGCGTGTTAATAATAATAGTATACAAAATACGAATGCTCTGATGGTCATTTTGAAAAATCCTTTCTTAGTGAGCACCTAGAAGCCAAGTGGAACCTACGTGCCAAATTCCAAGTTTGTAGGCTTTACGGTTCTTGGAGATTTTGTGATGATGCGTGAGTCAGTGCTGGGATTCCAAACTTTTACTAAGTTCTGTGGGCGTGCCTTGGTGGGGGTGGCAGGAGAAGGATATACTGCAAAATCCCCATTCCCTCCCCACCCCATTAACCTGCTTTCCAGCTCCGTTCTCCTGGGCAGGACAACCAAAGAAGACCCAGCTGATCAACTGGGATTCAATGAGAGGCAGAGGAGAGATGGGGTTGGCGGGACCAGTCAGAGGTGGGATTTGCTGGTTCTCCGAACGACTCCAAATTTCTGCTACCAGTTCTCCAGAACTGGTCAGAACCTGCTGAATACCCACCTCTGGTGTGAGTGGTATTTCACTTTTATATAGAGACATATTTTTTTTGCAAAAAGATTACTACCAATCAAGTTCGAACAAACCTCGGAGGGAACCTGTTTCGATCTGAAAATTTCTTAACAAACAAAAGGGCAGTAATTCCAAATGGCTACCCAACTCAGGACAAAAAAAAAAAAAGCTTTGTAACCATCTAAACGCAACCACTGTGTTGGGTTTCCCCGGACTGGCTGTTTGGCAAAATAAACTGGCAACCGAAAAAGAGCGCGGGGGACACTGTGCCTTGCGATTTTGAGTCTGTGTGGCGATGCGTATTTTCTCCATCTTGTTTCCAGAGGTTCCGCCGGGGTCTGTCAGGCTTGGAAGCCATTTTTTTTTGGAGGCTTCTGGGCTGCCACATTCAGTGCCTGGGAATTTGGAAGGGGGGCACTTCAAGGAGCGGTGGAAGATTAGCCACAACAACATTCCTTTCTCAGAGAGTCAAGGACGTGTTGCCCTGCACCTGGAAGGAAGTGACTGGAAGGATGGTCTCCAGTTGGAACGAAGGTTTGATTGGGCCATGGGATGGATTATGGGGTGCAGGGGTTGGATTTTGGATTCTCTTTGGGCTGAGGAAAAACCCCAGAAATCTCAGATTTGGGATTTCCTCAGATGTGCCAATATGACATCTCTAATACAATGGATCTTTGAGAAGATGACAGTCTCGGGGGTCTTTTAATTTGGAGGTTGTTACTTGGAACGCTGACAGGGTCTTTTAACAGTTTGGAGAAGAGACCTACACAGGAACTTCTCAAGCCAAGAGAAACTCCACCCTCACCTGGAGTTTGGTACCGCTTTCTCCATCCTCTCATTTTGTTCCACCTTGACCTTGGTCTCTGTCTCTCCCATCTTCCCTTGCTCGGACAATCTGGCTTCCAGATTCAATTCTGCAACCTAGGATGGAAAAATAATCTCCCAAATATTACGAATTCTTCTCCTGCATGTTTTACTTCCTGTCAGTTCCTCAGATTGTTGGTTAAATGCCTTATGTCCCACGGAAGTTAAGCCTGAGGACATCTCACAGGACTTCCAGGGGTGTCTCTCTCCTTTTTTTTTTTTTGCACCTGGGACCATCCTTTGTAGCTGTAAGGGCTGGGGAAAATGTGTCCAGTCACTTCTTAGACCAGGGGTCTTCAAACTTGACAGCTTTAAGACTTGTGGACTTCAATTCCCAGAATTCCTCATCCAGTCATGTTAGCTCAGGAATTCTGGGAGTTGAAGTCCGCAAGTCTTAAACTTGCCAAATTTGAAGACCCTTGTCTTAGACAATTAGGAACCTCTCAGGTCATTGTACCACCCATCCTCCTCCAACCCACCCACCTTAAATTTAAGGTATCTGGACTTCAACTCCCAGAATTCCCCAGCCAGCCATGCTGGCTGGGGAATTCTGGGAATTGAAGTCCACCTTTTAGATTTATAGGGGTTTGTTTTTTTTTGCCAGAAACCAGTGTTTACTTCCAGTTTCCTGCAAAAATTGACCACTGGCAAAAAAAAATAAATGGGTTCGTTCAACGACCACCGCAAAAAAGGTTGTAAGGTTGGGCACCGTCCCATGGTGACTCACTTAATGACACGGTTTGTGACTGTCGCAACATACAACCATAATGGACAAACTCCCTCAAGGTCCTATGTCAAACACTTACATAATAGGGAGGAAGTTATAACTGCATGCAGAATGTGGTATTGCGGGCAAACTCTGCCCACAGCCTGGAGTTTGATCCTGACCGGCTTAAGGTTGACTCAGCCTTCCCTGAGGTGGGTCAAATGAGGACCCAGATTGTTGGGGGGCAAGAGGCTGACTCTGTAAACTGCTTAGAGAGGGCTGGAAAGCACTGGGAAGCGGTATATAAGTCTAAGGGCTACTGCTGTGTGTTAGATGGCTTGCTAGTTCTCCCCTTTTAAAAATTCTGGTATTTTTTTTCTTTGCAACCATTATCTGCTCTCTGATCACAATTACAGTTAGAATGACTTGGCAAGAGTGGTACAGTAGAATAGGATAGAAAATAGAAAAAAGAATAGAATAGAAAATAGAACAGAAAATAGAATAGAATAGAATATAGAATAGAAAATAGAACAGAATAGAATAGAATATAGAATAGAAAATAGAAAAGAAAATAGAATAGAAAATAGAAAAAAGAATATAGAATAGAAAATAGAATAGAAAATAGAAGAATATAGAATAGAATATAGAACAGAAAATAGAATAGAAAATAGAACAGAAAATAGAACAGAATAGACTATAGAATAGAATAGGATAGAATAACAGTTGGAAGGGACCTTGGAGGTCTCCTAGTCCAGCCTTCTTCTCAAGCAGGAGAACCTATACTATCTCAGACAAGTGATTGTCCAATCTCTTCTTAAAAACCTCCAGTGATAGTGCCCATGTTTTCTGGAGGCAAGTTGTTCCACTGGTTAATTGTCCTCACTGTTAGGACACTGCAGGTGTAAAGACACATTGATTCCTGTTTTTAAACAACACTCATAAAAGAGCTAAGGTACCTACTTTCCTGTGTCCATGTTCAATGAAATACTGGGCCAGCTCAAGAGCAGACTGGGCGTCTTCGGTGGGATCGTGACCCAATTGGCCCGTGCTCTGAATTTCTTTCCTATAAGAAGAAGGAAACAAGCAACTGGTACATCCATGAACCTTTATATACTCCATTGCAGTGGTGGCTAACCTTTTTTGGGCTCCTGTGCCAAAAATTGTGTGCACGCTTGCGCGCTCACCTGCCAGCATCCAGAAGGCAATGCGTGCCCCCCTCACGCCCGCTACGCACGTGCCTGCAATCCCCCTCCTTACCTGCACTGCGCCTCACAACTGATTTTCGGCCTCCCAGAGGCTTGAAAAAAGCCGCTGCAGGCTTTACAGGCCGAATAATAGGCCCGTTTCGTCACTTCCGGTATTACAGGAAGTGACGAAACGGGCCTATTATTCGGCCTGCAGAGGCTTTTTTTCAAGCCTCTGGGAGGCCAAAAAAGACTTCAAACCAACCAAAAAAATCAGCCGTGAGGCCGTGCATGCGCAGTGAGGTATGTTTGCCTGTGGCTCGCATGCCAGCACAAATGGCTCTGCGTGCCAACTCTGGCACGCATGCCATAGGTTCACCATCACGGCTCTATTGAGTAGCAAAGAAGCAGGAAGATTTGGGTAGAATATTTGTAGCTCGGGTTTGAACTGTGGGGGTGCTTTTTTTTTTTTTTTTTTGGCAGACGTTTCGTTACCCAACTTGGTAACTCCATCAATGCTAGGAGGGAGTGGGGGTCTGCTCTCTGTTTATATGCAAGTGTGTTGATGTCGGTGTTCTTAGATTCTGTTCCTTGTGGTTCCTGGATTCAGCTGTTGTTGACTCTTAGCTTGCTTATCTGAGTTGGTGGTGGTGCCTTGATTTGGGGGTATTGTTTTACTTCTTGACTGTTGGGTCTAGGGTTCGATCTTGGGGTGAATCTCTGCCCATCTGGGTGTGGATGGATGCTTGGAAGGTATTTGGGTGCCTTTGTTTTTTGACTTTTTGTCTTTTCTGAATGGTATGTAGATGTCCTTTATCTCTATGTGCCTGCTGCTGGCTGATTTCTCCGAGTGCTTCCAGGAATTCTCCAGTGTTTTTGGACACGGCTTGGTCTAGAACGGTGATGGCTGACCTTTTTGGCACCGAGGGCCCAAAGCGCATGCACACAAACCCCCCCAAATGCATGGGTGTGCATGGGTGTGCAGCCCCACCCATGCATCAGCCCCACCCACGCATACAACGGTAGAGACCCAAAGACCAGCAGAGGCACATGCGCATGAATGGCGGAGCTGAGCTGGGGTGACAGCTCACATGCCCACAGAGAGGACTCTGTGTGACACCTCTGGCACACATGCCATAGGTTCGCCATCACGGGTCTAGAACGATCGCGCTTTCCCAGTTGAAACTATGGAAAATACAGCACTGATGATGTTACTTAGTTTGGTAGTGAAACGTCTCCAACCAAACCCCATTGTTCTCCTGCTCCTCCTCCTTATATTTCCTTCTCCTCCATTCCAGAAATCCCACTTCCCTCCTAGCACTGATGATGTTACCTAGTTGGGTCATGAAATGTCTGCAAGAAAACAAGCAAGCTCAGAGAGCAGCAAGGACCCCACAGTCGTCGTCATCCTTCTCTTCCTCCTCCTCCTCCTCCTCCTCTTCCCTCCCTCTCTCCTCTGAAAGTCCCACTCCCTCCTAGCCCTGATGATGTTACCTAGTTTGGGTCATGAAATGTCTTCAAGAAAACAAGCAGTCTCAAAGATCATCAAGGAGTCCACAAGCTAATTTCAATTTGGGGAATTCTGGGACTTTGAGCTCTACAGGTCTTAAAGTTTTTGCCAAGGTTGGACAACCTTGCCCTAAGTAGGTATGCTTGTAGGACGTGGCAATTCTTTATTTATCTGTCAACAACCCAGCCCTTTTCCTTGGTAAGGAGTTCCTTTCACGGTGGAGCAATTCAGAAAGATCCTAATTGGAAAGTGTGAGGAGAGACATGTCCGCAGGCAGAAAACTCAACCCAGAACCTTCTTACCCTAAAACAGCAGCTGCTAAAAATTTCAGCTTGAACCTTTTCCCCCCTTTCCGGACGTAGAGAAGCGAAGTGTCTATAACGTTCGGGTGAATCATCTGGAAAGATGAGAGGGAAAAAGGAAAGGCGGTTCAAAACAACAAACGAACCAACAACAACAACAACGCCATTTTGACCATCTCCGGGAAGTCCTGGACTTGCGACCATTCCTTTCGCGACTGTTACAAGGGCGCTGGAAAAAAAGGCACTTACGACCAGTCCTCGGGCTTATGACGGTCACAAAACCTCCACCATCACAGGATCAAAATTCAGATGCTTGGAAACTGGCATGTACTTATGACAGTTGTCATGAGGGGGGGTCACGTGATTGCCATTTTTTTTCAAACCTTCCCAGCTGGCTCCTGACAAGTTAAGCCGATGGGGGGAAGCCAGATTTGCTTAACGACCCACGTGATTCACTTAATGACAGAAGCGATTCGCTTACCGAACAGGACAAGAAAGGTCATCCAATCGGGCACAACTCGCTTACCACAGCCACGCTCGGCAAGGCAAATGCTGGTGCCAATTGTGGCGATAAGTTGAAGACTACTTGCCTGTTAAACTTTCAAACGGGGTGTCAAGATTCCGGCGATTGCCCTAATTAAATCATGAGCCTCGAGCCAAGCTTCAAAAGAATCCAGAAGATTTATTAGGGACAACATGCCTGTATGAAGTCAACTCTGGCATACGTAATTTACAATCACCTGTGACCCTGTTTTCGCCCCCTCCCCACTGGGTGTATCATAAATCAGATTCTCCAACGAAGCACCTTCCAGGCTGGGTGTCATCAATCACGTTCTCCAACTAAGGGATTTTGCTGGCAGAAGATTCGGTAGCTTAGTTACAATCTTTGTGAGATAAGTGGGGAATGTACTTCTGGTTTTAAACTGCTGCCCTGCTCCTTCAGATTTCCTACACACACACACACACACACACACACGCACACAGCCTATGGCAACTCTAAAGCAGGCATAGGAATGCTTTATGAGTTGACACGGGGATCCAGAATGTTCTGCTGTGGCCCACTTCTGTATCAAAAGCCCACCCCTTAGGCCAGAGGTCTCCAAACTTGGCATCTTAGCTGTCTGAGGAATTCTGGGAGTTGGAAGTCCACAAGTCTTAAAGTTGCCAACTCTGGGAACTTCTTCCTTAGGCCAAGGGGGTCTCCAAATTTGGCAACCTTTTTAAAGATTGTGGATTTCAAATGGCTGGCTGAGGAATTCTGGGAGTTGAAGTCCATGAGTCGTTTTTAAAAATTATTTTATAACACAACAATACAAAAACAAATAGTAGGAAAAATAGGGGGAAGGGGAAGTGTAGAAAAGAAGAGGGGGGAGAAAAGGCACTGACTTCCTTGGGTGCAGTAGAATAAGATAATAGCATCAAGCCTCAACTTTTTACTTTTACATTAATACCATAGCAACAAACCCATCTAATTGGAAAAGCCCATTTTCCCCCCCACCTCAAGGACAAAGTCCAGAAGCGGTTTCCAAGTGGAAACAAAATTAATTGTGTTTTTTTTCCCTCTTTTAATCAAAGCAGTCCATTTAGCCCTCTCTGCTAAGTCCATCAGCTTCGGCAGCCGTCTGTCCATTGTGGGAATCAAAGCGTCCTTCCATTTTTTGAAGTCCGCAAGCCTTCAAAGTTGCCATGTTTGGTGACCGCTGCCTTTAGGCCAACGTCTGGTGCAGAGGTCTCCAAACTTGGCCACTTTTAAGACTTGTGGACTTCAACTTCCAGCATAGCTGGCTGAGGAATTCTGGGAGTTGAAGTCCACAAGTCTTAAAAGTGGCCAAGTTTGGGGACCCCTTGCTGGGTTGAGACTGTGGAAATAGACATACTCACTTCTAGAGCGCGGAGATCAGCATCTAAGGAGTGGCCCACTAAAACGGCATCCGGAGGCAGAATACTCTTCAGTTGGCTCTGGATTTCCGCGAGGGTAGTTTGCACGGGGCCTAGCAGCTTCTCCGTGATGCCGGAGTAACTTCAAAACACAAGAAAGGGAACATTTTAGGGCCGTACCAAGATGAGAGTTTCCAACCAAGGGTCTTTCAAGAAAGTTAATGGATTCCAGCGCAAATAATGATACCGGGATATGAGTTGTTAAGTGAGTTTTGCTCCGTTTTATGACCTTTCTTGCCACCGTTGCTAAGTGAATCCTTGCAGTTGCTCGGTTAGTAACAGGCTTGTAAAATGAATCTGGCTTCCCCATTGACCCTGGGACACTGCAACCGTCATGAATATGAGTTGCCAAGTGTCTGAATTTTGATTACTTGACCATGGGGATGCTGCAGCGGTCATAAGTGTGAAAACTGGTCGTAAGTCATTTTTTTCAACGCCGTTGTAACTTTGAACAGTCACTAAATGAACTGTTGTAAGTTGGGGACTATCTGCATAACTATAGATCTGGGAATTCCTAGGGAATTAACTTCTTAACTCTCTTCCTGTCCACCAAACTCTCTTAAGCTTCGCTGCCTCTTTGCCCTCTGGGAAGCAGCCCCTCCCTCCTCGGAATCCAGACTACATTCCACTACACTAATCCCAATCAACCCCACCCCCCTCTTGCATATACTCCCGGGATGCTACGTGTAACAGTTTAAAACAAAGAGATATACACACACCTTATCCAAATACGTGGCTTGGCCTTAAAATATTAAGCTGTATCAAACTGGAGAACCCACATTTCAAGCAACTACAGTTCCCAAACATTCAAATTCTGGGTAGTGCCCAACTTTTCCATCAGTTGTTAAGTTGAAGCAACCTACCAGGTAAGGTAATTCCTGATTGGCCGTTTTGGCTTGACAAGCTCATTCATAATGCACTGGCCGTGGCTGTCCACCAGGGCAATTCGGGTGAGTTCTGACCCCTTATCGGTGAGACACTGGTCAAAATGAGAAAGGTGGAAACCAGAGATGTTTTTATTAGGAATAATGGAGAAAAATGTAAACAAAGCAGACACCTATTTAATGATACATGTAATTACAGCAGCAAGAAGAACATTCGACCAGAATTGGAAAGCAAGCGAGAGATTCCAAGTGAGGATGCCTTCATTGGGAAAATATTACATTGCGCCGAAATGGATAGGCTATCACTAGAATTGAAAGAGCGAGATGAACTAGAATACTACAAAATAGGGAACACATTTTACAATTGGAGGGACATGAAAGGGTGTTCATAGAACTTAAATAAGTAGAGAATGTGACAAGAAAGAACAAAAGAAAAATGGAAAATATGTTACATAAAAATGTATATATGTACACAAATGTATACATCTTTTTTGTTTTGTTTCTCTTTTTAATTGTAAAGGGATTAGACAGAAATGTATGTCAAAGAAGAGACACCACGTTCACTGTTTTTAATGTTTATATTCAATTTATAAATATGAAAAAAATAACGAGAAAGGATGAAGAAAGGTTGATGGTTCTCTGCGGCCCTTTGCCTCCCTCCCGTGATTTAGTCAACTTGATGGGATTCCTTTACGGAAGGATAACACCCAGGGGTGGCATTCAAATTTTTAACAACCGGTTCTGTGGGCATGGCTTAGGTGGTGGGCGTGGTTTGGTGGTCATGTGACTGGGTGGACATGGCTTGGTGGTCATGTTATTGGCTGGGTGTGGCCAACTCAATATCACTCACATCGAGGCAGGCATCTCCTCGCCTGGTTTCTCATGACTGTGGGGATGCTGCAACAGTCGTAAGTGTGATAAATGGTCATAAGTCACTTTTTTAAGTGCCACTGTAACTTTGAATGGTCACACCACACAAGCAAAGTACCAGCAAAGGAAGGGAAAAAAATTTCAGAGATGTTCCTGAGACAGGAAGTCTAGTCCTGCCAAAAACGTAATAAGGGTTAACGGAGAGGCAGTTTCTGTAAGCAACACCAGAATGTTTCCTTCCTGCCTTCATTACAGGATTAGACCAGTAATGTCTTCTAACAACCGGTTCTCTGAACTGCTTAGAATGTTAACAACCGGTTCTAGCGAATAGGTGCGAACTGGTAGATTCCCACCCCTGATAACACTGCTCAAAATTGAATCCTTTCCCTTCCTGGCTGGAGACGAAACTGGAGAGTTTTTGCATGCACTCAATCACAGTTTAGAGCTGCGCCCCGAATCAAGAACGGAAGACTTAAAGGCAAATCTTTTATAAGTATAAAATCGTTTCTTACGTACTGAGATCTAACCTTTGCAATGGGAAGGAGAGTAACACGACACTAAATAAATACCATTTCGCAGTCCAGTCCGAAGAGGGGGCTACTATCCGTAACCGGGCCGTTGCAGAGGGTGTGGACAAAATGGCTGCGGTCGGCGCAACCTGGAGGGGCAATGGAACAAATGTCACATCTGCAAAAGGTGTGCTGACACAAAGGGGCGTGGCGCAAAGGCAACACATTCAGATAATCAATAAGAGTCCCTTTATTAGCTCCAACTTTCCCCCCAAGATCCTGGTTACTTTGGAGAAAAACTCTCCCAGGAACAGCCTTTGATTGTAACGAATCAAGTCCAAAACATGGTCAACAAAAACTGTAACTATAAGTCCACTCAAGCCAAAATGAGGTAATTAGTTTGGCAGGGCAGGAGCAAGAATTCCAGACGTAAAGGCACAGCAAAACTCAACACGGTTGGGAAGATGCCAGGAACACAGATAAGCAAAGACAACACAGGATAAAGTCACGTTTGTTCCCAGCAGCCTGTCGCACACAACCTGCCTTTCTTATCAACTATCTTCCCAACTGTGGCTAATGAAGGGAATCAGGGCCCTTTCTTCCCCCATAAGCCACGCAACCCATGTTGTTCTCTTCTCCATTCCTCCCTGCGTGCCCTAGGATGAAGAGGGGGTGGGCCTGGGTCTTCCTCTGAATTCCCTCTCCCTTGTTCTATCTCTTCCCTGCTCTGCCCAGCTGGACATTGCCCTTCCCTCCACCATTCAGGAGCAACCATTTACCTGCCGGCAGGGCAGGGCAAGGAAGGGGAGATTTCCAATTCTCTCTGCCAGATTCCCACAAGAAAACTCAATGGGGAAGCCAGTGGGAAGTCGGAAGTAGCTTCTACTTCCACTGCTTTTTTGCTTACCTGTGGTCATTCTATTTCTCCATTTAGGCAAGGACATATCTCTAAAACTATGACCCAAAAAAGGCACAGGTAGCCTAATTCAAACTACTAAAGTTATGACCTGTTCCTCTTCTAGACATCCAGAATTCGATCATAAATGTGGATTTTAAGACAGCTTACCTTCTATGGGGTAATCGTAGACGCGCATCTCCTCGGGAGTTAAAACATAACTGGAGAGTCTGCAGACCTTTTCTGTGTGTTTCTGAATTATGGGAATTTCATCCCTCTCTAGAACTTAAGAAAACATTCACTCTAAATATCTGTATTAGCATTTTTGCCTCTTTTCTGTCAGCAGTCTCTTCAATGTGTTATGAGAAGACAGAAGGGGGCTTTAACGTGTCATTTGATTTATTTTACCGGTTAGATTGATGCCTCTTTCAGGAACACTAAATGAATAACCGTAAAATAAAATCAAGCTGCAAGACCAGCAATAATAATAATAATAATAATAATAATAATAATAATAATAATAATAA